GCACCCTATCTAAGTTTAGGGATATTTTTTTTGTCATGGACCTTAATGAATAAGACACAAGCGATAGTTTAAAACAGATAACTTAGGAAGAGAAAGTTATGTCTCTCTTAGAAGATATATTTTAGACCCACTCAAAGGAACATAAGTTTCAGTTCATAAAACCATAGGACATTAGGAAAGCAGAGCTGGAAAGAACCTCACAAGGTCATCTAGTCCAGCCCCTTGCTCCAGGCAGGATCATGCCTGACAAAACCATCCAAGCCAAACCTCTGTCACACACTCCTGAAAACATCCAAAGATAGAGATTTCACAATTTCTTGTGGTAGTCTGTTCCAAAGCTTGACCACCTGTGAGTCAGAAAGGGTGTTTATACACATGCTTTGGGAGTGGGATGGGGAGATGTTGGGGTTCCCTCCCTCCCCAAATGGGTAGGTGAGTAACCCACAAGTCACACACCAGGTAAAATCCAATTGTTACCCTTTATTGCAAGAAAAATCAACACCACAATCTCGGATAATTTTATAACAAGCCTATGAGCTGCAAGCACGTCGGGCTGGAGGAAGGGCCCCCCACACCCTATCCCCAGTTATTATCTGATGGGACTCAGGAACCCCAACCTCTGTCCAGGGTGGCAAGACTACCTCCTTTATTTGGACCTCAGCCTTGTCATCCCCGAAGTAGCTCTGCCCAAGGTTCTGTTCTTATGACCTTTATACCTTTGTCTCCCACCCCAATGGGATCCTCCAATCATATGAAGCTTCAAGCCTTTTTCACCTTTTATGGCTTGGAGCAAGCCTCATCTCTTGCTGCAAAGCAGGGTCACCTCAGGCCTTGCCACGGTTCCCCTTTCCATCGCCCTTATTTCTGGTACTTTCCAGAACCATTAGTTGCTCAAAGCAGTTCCCCTTTTCTTATTTTTGGCCGATCAACAGATGCATTAGGTCATTGTCCCGTGGCCTCTGGGTTCTGCGAAGCTGACCCCGCCTTTGGGCTGTCAGCTTGGCCTCCTCCCAGAGGTCTCTTCGGGACAGACCTCACAGGAGGCACTATAATTAGAGTGGCTCTGACAGTCACTCTAATTAAAGAGCACAGAGCAGCTTGTGTATCAGCATCCCCCCCATTTAAAAATGGTGGTTGGGGCATTTTAACTAAAGCTCAAATGAGCTTTAGTTAAAGCACCCCCACTGCCATTTGTAAATGCATGGATGCTGATACATGAGATGCTGGAGTCTGCTGGAATGTGGTAGTTACTTTGCTCCAGCATACTCAATTAATTGCGTCTGCTTTGACATAATGTAATTACAGTGCATAGGAACAGTCTCGCTGCTTGCGTATAGGCAACCAAAGTTTGTCTTAATCTACAACCTAAATGCTCCCTGTTGAAGCTTGAAGCTATTGGTACTAGTCCTGTCATCCACAGACACAGAGAAAAGCCCATCTGCGTCCTCTCTGTAAATTGCTTTTCAGGTATTTGAAAACTGTTATCAACTCCACTCTCAGTCTTCTCTTCTCCAGAAGAAATAACCCTATATCTCACAACCTTTCCTTATCAGTCTTGATTCAGAGGCCTCTAATAACGTTGTGTTGCTTTGTGCTAAAATCTTTCCAATCTGTCTACATCCTTCTTGAAGTGTGGGGCCCAAAACGGACACAGTACTCCAGGCAAGGCCTCACAAGTGCTGAATAGAGAGGAAGAATTACTCTCCTTGATTTTCAAAGGACAGTCATATTAACACAACCTAGAAAGCCGTTGGCTTTGGGGTTTTTTTTGGCGCAACCAGAGCACACTGTTGGCTCATCTTCAGCTTATGGTCTACTTTAACATTCAAGTCCTTCTCTGCTGTACTGTAGCCTAGTCACTCATTCCCCAGTCTGTATTTGGGTGTGCAACTATTCCATCCCAAGTGTAGGACTTTATACTTGCCCTTGTTAAATCTCATATTATTGATTCTGGATTATTTTCCAGACTATCTAGGTCATTCCAGATCCTAACCCTACACTCTGGAGCATCTGCAACTCCATCCAACTTGCCCACAATTTTGCTAAGAATGCATTCAATACCATCATCCAAATCATTAATGAAGATATTAAACAATACCAGACTCAGGATAGAACCCTGGGGATACCTTGATACTTTCTCCCAACTAGAAATTGAGCCATTGATGGCTACTCATTGAGTGCAATGATCTAACTAGTTATGTATATGCCCACTTTCATTTGTATTTCCGTAACTTGCTCATGCAAATGTTTTTGAGATGGTGTCAAAAGCCATTCGCTGATTGCCTCCCATCCACACAGCCTGTTATCTTATCATAAAAAGAAATCAGGTAGGTCAAGCTTGGCTTGCTCTTGGTGAATCCATGTTGGCAGTTCCCGATTATCTTCTACCTACTTCACAGTGGATTCCTTGAGGACCCATTCTATGATCTTTCCAGGTATAGATGTCAGGGTAACTGATCTGTAGTTCTCCAGATCCTCCCCACTCCTTTTCTTAGAAGATGGGAACTATGCTTAGCCTTTTCCAGTCATCTGGGATGTCACCTGATTTCCAATGGTTTTAGGAAAGGACAGCTGATGGTTCCAAAATTACCTCAGCCAGTTCCTTTAGCACCCTAGGGTGTATCTAGAGGAGTGCACACATGCGTTTCGCCAGGGACAAAGAGCAGTGGCACAACTATGTGCCACTGCTATTGTCCCTGGGGAATGCCTCTACACGTGTGCTCTAGTGTGCAGTAAACTGCCCCAGGTAGAGTAGGGGAGGCTGGAGCCAGCACCTGGGCTGGCCCTAGCAGCCTTACCTGTAGACCTTCTAGGGCTGTGCTGGTGGTGATCCAGGCATGTGGAACCTGCCTGGCAGCCAAAGCATGGTTCTGGCTATCCAGGCTCTGGTTTTGGGTACTGCATGCTGCAATCATGTGCACCACCCTGCTCTTCTTTAAGCTTTTTTAGATACCATGATTTCCTGTCATCTAATTTTGGCTCTGTGCTGCAAATATGCAGCATGAAGAACCTTTTCATGTGCATTGCATGTGTTTTGCTGCGCCTCAAAAGCCTTTCAGGCATCAAAGCGCATGTGCACACTTGTCTGGACACACCCCTAGGGTGCATCCCATTTGGCCTTGCTGAGCTAAAAGGATCCCTAACCTATCCTGCCATTACTCTAGGTTGTTTGTCTCCTTCCATTTCTTTGATGTCAATTGCACTTGTCATCTGGTATCTGCTCCTATTTATGAAAACAAAGTAAACAAGGTATTAATGCATGCCCATGTGATAATATTCCCTAGTACTCTAACTGAGTTTCCACTATTTATTGGATTCCTTTTTGAGTTGCAACTCATTGAAGAAATTGATGTCCAGCCAAGCTGGTCTTCTGTCATACTTCCCATTTTTCTGTCTCAGTAGAATGTTTATATGCTTCCATGAGTTAAATCCTATCCTAGTTCATATTTACATGCTCCCATGGGTTAAATGCCATTTTGCTTTATGCATCTAAGTGGTATGTACGCATTCAGTTTGATATTTATGCACAGTTTTGCAATTCTGTTTTCCCCGTGTGGTGAAACAAGGTAGTAGTATGTGCACATCTGAGGGACATAAGACAGGAGGAGAGGGAAAGTCTTCCCATTTTAGCCCAATACCTAAAGCACCCCCTCCTTTCCTGCCGAACATCTCCTAGTTATTATTTTTGCAATGCAACCAAGGCAGAGTATACCGAGCATATTCAGTGGGTGTGCTAGGTCTTTTGCTTGCAGAACTAAATCTGCAAGTTGTACATAAATGCCAAAACCTGTGGTTGTGTACATGCCACTTAAGCATGCAAAATGAAATAGGATTTGACCCAATACAGTATGGTACTCACTAGTGCACTTACAGAACTTCACTGCCATGAAGTTTCTCAACCTCTACACCAGTTGTCTGATTTTCTGACAGATGAAAATAGGATCCCCATATTTTAGTAATAGTGTAGTAACATAGTAGCAGTTATAGCCTCCTCCCTCACTATCCTTCTTATAAAAGGCTAAATATTCTCAAAGACTCTTGATATTGCATTGCTTTCTAATTTTCTTTCCACATTGCCAGTTGGCTAAATGCATACATAATTATGAGGTATGTTTACTCAGTGTGCTCTTCCTTATGATTTCTTTAGAAAAGTGAATGCATAAAGGAAGGCATGTTTAAAACTTTTAGCTGCAATTTAAGAAACCTTCCCCCCCCCCCCTTTCTTTTTTTTTTTTTTTCCTTGGCCAGAGGTAT